GAGATTGTGAATTTATATATGTTTGAGAAATTGAGGTTGTGTATTTATTTATTTAGGTTGTGAATTTATATTTTTGTAAATGCTTAAGAACTCGCAGTTTTAAACCGCAAAACGCGGTCGGTTTGCGGTTTCAAAAATCACCAAACCGCAAATAGTCGGTCGGTTTGCGGTTTGAGTAAAAATTCGCGGTTACCGAACCGCAACCACCCCTAGTAAAACATGACGGCACACAAGGGAGTGCATTTCTAGTACATCTACTAGTGGTCTTGAGTCTGCTTAAGCTTCTAAAGTATAGCGGTACCGAAATTTTTTTTTTGCAACAGCATTCTCCACGAAATAACTATTTGTATGTTTGCATTCGCACCCCAATTGAGAAAATTTGACCTGCTACATATTCATTGCCCCAAAAACTTGTTAAAATGGCAACACAACCATGGTTTCCGTTTAAGAGAAACTGAATATGAAGGAAACATTGCAGCAACTCACAAACTTTGATGGTTTCAAAAACAAACCTTACTACTGGAGATGAAAGAGATTTACCATGGAATTTCAGTGGTTATGGAAGGGGGAGAAGGGGTGGAGGACCTGGAAATGGCTGATCAGTTGGTGTGAAAGGTTTTTCAAATATGTAGTTGACTTCGAGAGTGGGTTGATTTTATTTGGTGGTGGAGAAGTTGGAGTTTGAGTGGCCTCTGAGTTGGTGGACAATTGAGAGGTTTTCTTGGGTTGGAGGAGATGGTGTGAGTGCTGGAACAAGAAAACGAATAACAAAACATAGGTTCAATTAGGCTCTGTAACCATGTGAGTTTGGTCATTTATCTTTTAAAGATTAACAAAAACAACCATAATGTTGGACATCATTACAGCATTGACCCCCTCTGGTCTAACCGTCAAGTCAACCGTTGTTTACTGTAGCGTTTCACAAATCGTGAAGTCTCTCTGTCCAAATCAAACACCAGACAACTCAAAGACTTCTTGTTCTTCATCGAGTTCGAGACAATCACCAACGCACGTGCCAATTCATCCACCAACAAAGTCAAAGATCACTAACCATGTGACATTACTCGTGGTCCTGTTTGATTCAAGATCAATCCTTGATCACCATTGACAAAACCTAATTGCGATTCAATTTCAAAATGTTGATCACCCTGGAATCCAATTTTACTGTGGAGATCGAATTGTGTGCAGAACATATGTTTTTCTTTATTAGGTTTTTGCTTATCTTTTTTTTCTGCTTAAAATACCTATATTTACGTACCTAGGAACATAAAAGACCTCCCGGGAAAAATTATTTATATAAATAATTTTTTTTTTTTGGAACAAATAATGAGAAGACAAACATAGTCCCTCCGATGAAAATGAAATTTTGATGATGTCAATTAAGCGGCTGATTTGGCTGAATTTTTTTGTTTTTGTTTTTGTTTTTGTTTTTTTTTTCTTAACGGGGATGATTTTTAAAGGGGTACTCAGAAAAATAATGAACCTCAAACGTGTCAACGGATTATTGACATTGTAACTTCAAACTCAAAGGAAGAACGTCATATACCAACCATCAAACATTGGGGTCGAGCTGCTTACCAAGAGGTTTTAAGTTCGATTCCCACCAATAGGTTGGGGTGGGCAGGTCAATTACCTGGAGATAAAAGTGTGTGAGTGCGTGGCATCATGAGGGTAGCCCGGGGATCCAGCTGGAGTTGGCTCTTGTGTCCCTTTCACAGCTCTTTGGTGGACACCACCCTCTCTCCCTTGGAGTGTTTTTTAGTTCACCAAAAAAAAAAAAAAAAGACGAACGTCATATTTGATTTTTAAAAAATAAAATAAAGGTAAGAACGTCTTAGATAGAGAAAACCAATGGACCGACGTATCTATATACAATATGTTAATGAAATTTGTAAATTCTCATTTCAATTGTATGGGCCTTCGTCGTGGATTCGACCGATTGCAAGTCATTTTTAATGTTTGGTCTACTACTATAATACAGAAGTTACGAAGAGTCATGCCCACACCAAAAGATTCGATGTTGCATTTTTTCTTCTTTTATAATTTCAAATTTTAATTTAATTTCTTATCATAATATCTAACAACATGCCCAGCCTCATTACACAATAGTCTTTCTTTTCTTTTTTTAGTTACAAGGCAAGCCGGAGCTAGAAAAGAGAAAAAAGCTAACAAGGCATAGCCCTACTTTGGGCTCTTCCTAGTTCATCATACAGTAGCAAGCTTGAGAGGGAGATAGGAGAAGACTCGCAATTATGAAGCCCCAAGGGTAACTCATACCCCAAATTAGCAAGGTGATCGGTTGCTCTGTTTTGCTCCCTGTAGATATGAGAGACGTTGCATCTCTAATTACGGTTAAGTAACAACTTGCAGTTTTCAATCAGACAAAAAAGATGATGTGAATGGTTACAAGCCTTAGCAATTAGAGATAACAGACAAAGAATCACATTCAATATCAAGGGACTTAATGCCCATACAATAGTCTTTCAAACAAGAGTGCACGCTATAAAGACTAAACACCTTACACTTACACTATCTGGCGGCTATACCAAAAACAATGATTTTTTTCTATTTTATTTTTGTTGTTATCGGTGGCCGTGGCCCTATACCAAATATAATGCAATTCATTGCAATAACGAAACACGAAATCATATGCATGCTCTCAATAATTTCATTGATGTTACGTGAAGTCGTGAACTCATAAGTATGAAATTCGGTAGACCAATTGCATGTGGAGTTTTGATAAATCTGGCCCCGGCCCGCTCATATTTATTTATTTAATTTGAGCATGAGCAGAGCATCACATGGGACAAATTGTTTTTTTTTTTTTTTGGGTCAGAGAGATAAACTGTTTAATAATTTGAAGTATGGACACCCGGAAAAGTTATCGCGATCACCATAAGATCCAAGAGTAGCTAGTAGAAGGCTAAATTTGACTTTCAAGGGCCATCATTGAAGAAGACTATTTGAGTTATCTTTGGGATAAGTTTGCACTGGCACCTTGGCACATGTCCACGTATGTGCAAATTGAGTTCATTTTTTATTTTTTATTTTATTTTTAAAATTAAAAAATATAATGGGTAGTTGTGTTTAATAAAAATAGGATTTATTATCTGATTTTACTTTTAATTTTTTTAATATGAAAAAATGTAAATTTAACATATTATTCTAATTTAATTAATAATTTCAATTCTTAATGTTTGCATTAACCAAGGGTATTTTCTGGTATTTTGAATGTTTCACCACTTTCTACCTTTTGCTTTATATATATAGATGACTAAGCGCCCAAAACAAAAGCAATATGGTTAAGGACTGCGTTAGGAAATGTCTTATACAAGTTTATCAAGATTGTTTTGCTATATGTACGTTTTGCTCAAAAGTATCCCCAACAAACAAATAAAAAAGTCTCATTTCCTTATAAATAATAGTATTTTAGGATTCATTTCAACTGGTTCATCTCTCTAATAAACTCTCTAATGGGTACTCTTCTGAGGCTATTTTCACCACCACCACCAGCAACCCAGAGCAGCCAATTTTTTCATTCATTCAATCCTCCATTTTCATTTCCAAGAACCTGTGGCACATCTTCGAGAAATACTCCTTCCAAAGCCCAGAGCAGCGAATGTGGAAATTTTCTTGATTTAAAACCGGAGGCAAAACCTGAATTCTTAGATTTCGACATCCCCCGGTTTGACACATCTACTAGGTCTTCCTTAGACGTGATCATCATCGGCACTGGCCCTGCCGGGCTTCGCCTTGCAGAGCAAGTGTCACAGCATGACATTAAGGTATGTTGTGTTGATCCTTCACCGCAATCTTTGTGGCCAAATACCTATAGTGTTTGGGTTGATGAGTTTGAGAGCCTGCAGCTTGAGAGTTGCTTAGAAAAAACATGGCCTAGGTCTTGCTTTTATATTGATGAAGACAACGTCAAGTATATAGACCGCCCTTTCGGTCGAATTAGCAGGAAGAAATTCAAGACTTTGCTAATGGAGAGGTGCCTCTCTAATGATGTCAAGTTTCATAAGGCCAAGGTTTTGAAAATTGAGCACCAAGAGTTTGAATCTTCGATATTCTGTGACGATGGCAATGAGCTCAAGGCAAGCCTAATTGTTGATGCTAGTGGGTTTGCAAGCACTTTCATGGAGTATGACAAACCAAGGAACCATGGGTATCAGACTGGCCATGGCATTTTGGCTGAAGTGGATTTTCACCCTTTTGACTTGGATAAGGTTGTTCAGTTGGATTGGAGAGACTCCCATCTCAGAAATGAGCCCTCAATGCTCACTAGAAATTCAAGATTTCCAACTTTTCTCTTTGCCATGCCATTTGATTCAAGCCTAATATATTTGATGGAAACTTCATTGGTTGGTAGGCCAGTGCTGTCTTATGAGGAGGTGAAGAAGAGAATGGTTGCAAGGCTAAGGCATTTGGGAATTAGAGTGAAGAGGGTTTTGGAGGCTGAGAAGTGTTTGATCCCAATGGGAGGACCTCTTCCTCGGATGTCTCAAGAGGTGATGGCTATGGGAGGAACTTCCGGGCTTGTCAATCCTTCAGCCGGGTACATGGTGGCGTCGGCCATGACTCTAGCCCCGGTGCTAGCCGAGGCCATTGTGCAGTGCCTTGGCTCGACCCCAATGATCCGAGGGCAGCCACTTTATGACAGAGCGTGGAAGGGGCTGTGGCCAATTGAGAGGAGATGTGTTAGGGAGTTTTACTCTTTTGGGATGGAGACTTTGTTGACGCTTGATCTGAATGAGACTCGAAGATTCTTTGATGCTTTCTTGGACTTGGATCCGTATTACTTGCACGGCTATCTTTCATCAAGGTTGTCCCCAACAGAGCTTGCCTTTTTCAGTTTATCTATGTTTGGCAATGCCTCTGTTTCATCTAGAGTTGAACTTCTTAAAAAGTCTGCTGTACCCTTTGTTAAAATGATAGGTAATCTAGCACTTGAAGCAAAACAATATTATATCTAACATTTCAATGCATAAAACAAATGTAAGATATGTTCTGGTGACTTTTGGTTAGTCATCACAATTCAAGATCTTTTTCAAGGTATAAAATATATAAATTTTTAGGGTAAAGTGTTGGTTTGTCTTCCCTATTTTATTATTTTTTTCAGACAATTTAGCGCTCGAATTCAATTTAATAATCAATAATTTAGCCCTTACCATCAAATTTTTCAAATTTTATCTATTTTTCTGCCCAAAAGTCACATGCCTTCCACTTGATTATTGTTTTAAGTTTTTTTTTATTAAGTTTATTAAAACCTAAAATATTTAGAAAATAATAATAATAATAATTTTAAAGAAATCCCAACCCAGCTCACCCCATCTTCCTCTCCCATCCACCACCCCTACTTGGCCACCCCCACCTAGGAGTCATCCTTAGACCCGCGAGCCCGTAGGCCTATTGGGGCCCTCTCGAGCTATCGAGAAAAAACCCGGCTTGGCCTTGCTCATTATTGAGTGGACCGGGCTTGGACTTAGGTGTCTAAAGCCCGGCTCGTTTGAGCCCAAGAAAGCCAGGCATGGCCAGCCCATAAAAGCCCGGCCCACGAGCTATATATATATATATATATAAACCAAGTTAAATGAAAGATGGAGAAAATCATTATCTATTATCATTGTAAGAACTAAAATAAAATGAAGTATGGGATAAAATTTGAGTTTATTAATATGGCGGTTGTATAACTATATCTTTATATTTAGAATAATGTTATTCTTACCACATTTGTATACCACATCCCTATACCATCTTATGTGGCAGTTGAGGTGGATAGTCACGTCAATTGAAATTATTTAATATTTTCTTTTCTTTTATGATTTATTCCAGTATTTGTTTTTCTAATTGTTTTAATTAAAATACACTTCATTGATTTAATTGATATGACATATAATATGGATATGCCACATCATGTGGTATAGAAATGTGGGATAAAAATATGGTAAGTGTAACATTACTCTTATATTTATGGGTAAAAAACAAGAACTATGAAGTTATGAACAAAGAAAAAAATGGAGACATAAAAAATGTATATAGAGAATTATGAAGAAAAAAAATGGAAACATAAAAACACACCAAAACATAGAAAAATAAATAAAGAATTTACAAAAAAAAAAAAATCCATAAAAAAAAAATACAAGATAAAGTAGGGGTGGTTGCGGTTCGGTAACCGCGAATTTTTACTCAAACCGCAAACCGACCGACTATTTGCGGTTTGGTATTTTTGAAACCGCAAACTGACCGCGTTTTGCTGTTTACCGCAATGGTTACCACAAATTAGCGGTTTAAAACCGCAAGTTCTCAAGCATTTACAAAAATATAAATTCACAACCTAAATAAATAAATACACAACCTCAATTTCTCAAGCATATATAAATTCACAATCTCCTCAACTTCTCAAGCATTCACAATCTAAGAAAATTAAAGTTATAATTCCAAGCATTCCAATTCCAAATCCTTCAAAGTTACAAACCAAAAGGAAAATGCAAAGCAAAATGAATTAAAGTTACAACCAAAAAGAAAAATCTAATTCAAAGTTAATTAAAGTTACAAACTAAAAGGAAAATGCAATGCACTAATGTTACAAATTAAAGTTACAAACTCAAGTGTTGATGGTGAGTGGATTTGAAGAACTCCGTTATGTTGTTTGAGCACCAATGTTATCTACAAAAAAACAACATAGTTTAGTACATTTTATTATGAGATATGATTTCCCCACTCCCCTACACTCCCTTTTGTTTTTTAGTACTTTTTAATCAATTTTGTTATTTCTCTTTCCTATCTAACCATTACCTTATATTAATTTCATTTTACTTCACTTTTATATTAGTTCTGTTTTTTTTAATACTTAATTTTCCAATTTGCACTCCATTTTCAGTATTTTTTTTTTCCTTTAATCGAGTAAGAAATTAAATTTTTTTTTTCCCTTTAATACTGAAAATGGAGTGTAAGTTGAAAAATTAAGTACAAAGAAAAAGAAATAATATAAAAGTGAAGTAAAAAAGAAACTAATGTAAGGTAAGGATAGAATAGGAAAGAGAAAGAATAAAATTGATTAAAAAGTATTAAAAAAGCAAAATGGAGTGTAAGTGGAGAAAAGAGAAGTGGGGAAATTAGCTCCCTTTATTATAAGAAGAAGCATAAATAACATTAGCATAAATAAACTAATTACTTACAAGTTGTCATATGTTCCATTTCCTTGTATAATTCAACATCATCATCCGTGCGGCTATACTTTGCGGTTTGCGGTAACCGCAAGTTTTGAAAATCAAATACCGCAACCGCAACCGCAAATGCGGTTCGGTTCTTAATACCGCAAATGCGGTTCGGTTTACCGCGATTGCAGTTTTATTGCGATAAATTATCGGTTGGTTTTTGCGGTTTTTCGGTTTAAAATGCCACCCCTAAGATAAAGTAAGCCCATTTAAGTCCGGCCCATTAGGCTTAACCTGGCCCAGCCCGATGGGTTTTTTCAAGCCTGGCTCATGGGATGGGCTTGTGTTAGAAATATGCCCTTAAAACAAACTAATTATGTAATAGTTAGAGTTAAAGACATATTATGTTATCAATGCGCAAGAAATGTTGTTTTATACATTAAATCATCATATATTATTTTTCAATATGTAGAACAACCATAGTCCAAGGAATATACAAATGGATATGAGAGCTATGGAATGAGATTGCATACATAGAGACTTCTCATCATCCTTAAATCCTGAATATGTTCCTGCTCATATGAAAATGATTAGGCGTCAATACTCTGCAAAGACCAGTACACACAGTATTGTCTCTATATGTAGGGAATGACAAGGTCTCAACTCATTAAGTGTGAAGACACATCGATATATATATGTGTAAGTGCCTGTAGAAGAACAAGTACATTGAACGTGATCCAACACATGAGTTACAGCATGGAAGTTTTTACTTACATGTCAAACTAGAACTCATAAATTGCAATGATGCAAACTAATCCTTAGACCTGAGGCATCATAGATGTTTTGTGGCTATGTTGTTAATATTTGAGGGCACTATACGGTCATATTGAATTAGGCATAGCTTAAAGGTGCTCATCAGGATTCTCAATAGAGTCGAGGAAGTAAATAAATATATAACAAGGAATCTCTACTCAGTGAAGGAGAGAGAATACTCCAAGATATAATTGGTCAAATCTTTGCGCAAAGTAGTGGAAAAGACTTGAAGGAATTATTCACATTAGGATATTGACAATCGGATTTCATGATCTAATAATGTGCATAAGGAGTATTGACATAAGAGAAGGATTCTATTGCATGGTCATTCCAATTTGAATAGGTTATTTCACAACGTCTAATTTAGCTCGGATAACCTTGCTGCTAGGCGACAACCATGGTTTATGGATGTCCTAAAAGGTTTCGATTAACCTTTATTAATAGGAAGAATTAAATTATGGAATTTAATTCGTATATCATCTTTGAGGAGTTGAGTCAACCCACTACCTTGTTAAAGGGAACCTACGGATCTGCATACCCAAAGAATGTGATTGGATGTACAAATGAGAAGAAATGAAATGAGGAGACACAAATCAATGGTTGATAATCAAATGTCAAAGTCAACATGTTGACCGGAGCAATTGACTAGGCCCATTATTTTCTCTCCTTTTTGAAGCCAGGCCCAAACCCAATAAATTTGAATCGGGCTAGCCCCGCCTGGCCCATTGACGAGGCCTACCCCCACCCTCTACCCTCCACACACAAGAAACCTGCAACTAATTTTTCCATAAAGAGAAAATCACGAAGCCATCAAGTAGCTTTTGCACATGGCACTTCAACGAGACCATCAAGTTTTCCTTCTTGTAATGATGAACAATTTTAGTAAATGGATTGAAGGTGAATATAGGGTGACGGTGCCAGCTCCCTGGCGATGGGAGGCGGCGGCAGTGGATGTCTAGCAATAGGAAATAGTGGCGATGGCTCACGGGAGATAGACCATGGTTAGTGGTGATCGGCAATAAGCGGGCAGCGGTCGGCGTGGCAAGCCGGAAGGGGTTGCTGAAGGTGAACATGTGTAGGGATGGCAATGGGTCAAATCAAGGGTGGGTATGCCATTCCCATCCCCATCCCCACCTTCATATCCACAATATTCATATCGGTGATTCCTCATCCCCACCTTCGTTGGGGAATGAGTTCCCCGACTCGCCCCATTACAGAAGAAAAAATCAATATATAACCACTTTGTTGAAAGAAAAAAAAAAGGTATTAAGGTAAGATAATGACTATATATAATATATACTTATAAGACAATATAAGAATGTTTATATATGAACTAGAAGTTAACTAAATAAATAAGTAGTGTGGCTTAAAATTTGTATAAATTATATAAATATATAATATAATAATAGAAAATATAAAACTTAGTTGATACAATCACTTTAATAGCATATATTCTAAATGGGGAGAGTTCGGGTTGGGGATTAAAATACTGTTGAGGCCCAAAAATCCAGGGTTGGGTCCAAATAAATTCTCGGCCCAACATAATGCCTTATTAAGAAAAAAGACTCAGTTCGGAGCATGCAAAATTCCTCATTCATGCTTGCACAAGTCACGACCACATGCCATGCCAAATAAATATGCAATCTCTCTTGCTAAGAGTTGAAATAAGCATCAACTCTACGAGCCCATGCTACTGACCTCGTCAAGCATCATGTCTCTATTCAAGGACAATAAAATTAAAACACGCCGATTGACATGCCATGCTAAGCAGAAAATTATTATTTCACACCCAACCACGCTACAAGCTTAAGTGGGCCCAAGCCAGGCAAATGCCCGGGGCTTGCTTGAGTGGGTTGTGGTATGGATGGTAACAAGCTTTCATGAAGCCCATTGATGAGCCAAGAAATGGAAGTTTTGGGCTGCTTTGGAGCCCCAAAACTCAAGCCCATTTCTTAAGCCCAAACACATGGGCTAGCATGAGAGAGAGAGAACATGACCCAATGCCTTAGAGAATACAGTAGTTTCCTATGTTAGTTAGAGCATCCAAATACTTTGTTAAAAATGCAACAGGCAAACTGTTTCCAGCAGCTTGACGAAAACC